CTGCAACTCACAGAGGACTGAACACTTGCTTATAAAAGGTGCTTTAATAGTAAAAAGGCAAGAGCTGTCAAAGCTCAAAGGAGTATGCGATGATGTCCGAACATCGGAGCAGCGCTTCTCTCTGTATCCCCAGTGGAGTCTGAAGCTCGGAGACCTGGAAGTTCAGGATGTCAATGTCGGACGCTCCAAACAAAGCTGTGACCTTGACCCTCTCGTACATGGTGAATCTGACGGGCCGGCCAGCCATGGCTGAGAGGCTGCGCAGGTAGCGTTCTCGAAGCGTCACACGACTTTGCTGCTCCTGCTCTAGGTCTGCTGTGCTCTCAGAGGAGAGGCTGGCAGGACCAAGGGCCTGGAAACGGGGGGAGTTGGGATCGAAGCCGCGGCTTGACCCGTCGGGTCCGTGGGGCAGGCGGATGACCGCAACTGGCACCTTCATCGTGTACCCCTGCTGGCAAAGAGGAGAAATATGTTAAATGGGGCCTTGTTTGTGTCAGCAGCAGCAGGTACTCTTAAGGAATAATTCAGGAGGTAGGTGCTCCTATGGCTTAGAATACATTCTGCCCTCCCATTCGCCTTGCTGAGCAGACCAAGTTACCTCTGTGTTTAAGCTGTTTGAAATAGACTGCAGGATTTTTTGCTCTTGTTGCTGTGTTCCATAATCACGAGAGGTATGAGCCCATTTTAATGTTTAAAGAAAAGCTTACCTCGGGTTACATGCGCTTCAGGTTACAGAATCTGCTAACCCAGAAATAGTACCTCGGGTTAAGAACTTGGCTTCAGGATGAGCACAGAAATTGTGCTCTGGCGGCGCAGCGGCAGCGGGAGGCCCCATTAGCTAAAGTGGTGCTTCAGGTTAAGAACAGTTTCAGGTTAAGGACGGACCTCCGGAACGAATTAAGTTCTTAACCAGAGGTACCACTGTATGTTCAAGGAACCTTATGATTCTGTGCTGGGAGAGAGAAAAAACCCCAGACTTACAAAGATTTCTAGCTCCCATGGCCTTAATGTTTGGATTTCTCACGCCTGATCGAGATGGCCACAAATTTCACATCCTGTCTTCAACTGGTGGGTTGCAACAGGGTTAAATGTCGGTCATGGGGTGTGAGAAGGTTGAAGACAACCAGCTCTAGGTAAGCAATGTACTTTTTGTTCCAGGTGGGTGGTAGGTTGGGGGGTTGGGAACCTCGGAGCAAAAGCAGCCTTCCAGCCCCTGCGTCTCCCTCCAGGCTACTCTCTTCTGTCAACCTTGCTCCTAAAGTGCTTTTACCTGCCTGGACTGTGTCTTGCAATGGCGATGAAGCCTCTTGCTAGAAAACCTCTGACCTTCGCACAGCTGGAATGTAGCACAAAAGGAAAAGTCCCACCCATTGCTCTGCCCAGGTCTGTTTCTGGCCTTGCCCACCACTGGTATGCAGCATGGCTGTTCATTACCCATAAGAGAATGAAAAATTATTCCCACCCTGTGCTGTAGATTTAGGGGAGAGGTGAGCCACTGGCTTGGAATTCTGGGTCACTTCTGCCCTGTGCCAAGGGCAGAACTCTTGCCAGCTGGGAACTCTTTGCCATGGCTGCTGGTCTTCAGGCAGCAGAGGGTTAAGCACAGGCTTCTGGGGGCCTGTAAACAGGAAGTGCTGCTGCAGGAGGACAGCCTGTTTTCCCCTCTGGACGGTGGCGGCACCAACTTGACGCTCCCTCACTGTGCCAACATCCTCTGTGGCGGGCGGCCAAGCCCAGGGTCAGCGGCGAAGAGGATGTTTTGCACAGCGAGCTGGAGAAACAGCCGCCGGCAGCCAAGGACAACTCTGGTGCAAGGAGGAGAGCGAGAGGGCTTGGCCTGGGCCAGAAATGGATGCTGCTGAATCCAGAAGCTTAGACTTTTAGCCAAACCCTAGGTAGCTCTAGTTACCTAAAATGAATTTACTGCTTCCTCTCCACAGCATCCCTGGTGGACAGTAGCTTGAAGAAGAGGAGGTTAACCCCTGGGCTGATTCGGAATTCCCAAAGTTCCTTGCAATGGGAAAACCCGTGACAGTTGACCTCTGTTGGTGGAGACGTGCCCCCAGGGGAGGATTGATTCCAAAAAGGCAGGGCAGTACGCACTAGCGTTGGGAGAAAACTGCATGATTCACAGTCCTCTAGGCTCAAAGGATCCAGCCACAGAGCAGCCCTTCTGCTGTCTCTCTGCCCAATTTGTCATGCGCGTCTTGCCTCCGTCCAGTCGGTTGCCACTGGGTGAGGTTCTGCCATGGGTGTGATTGCAAGAGGGCTGCCTGTCCTCAGATGAGGCTACCTGCTGCATCTCTGCCTCTGGGTCCCAGGACTAGAAGAGGATTGAAGTGGGAGGAGTAGAAGCAGGCTACACACATACACACAGGCGGTCTGCACCTGCCAGTGCAAAACTCGGGTAGGGAATATACATAAACTGGGGGCGAGGGCTCTCTGTTGCAGCAACTGCCTCATCAGCTGCAAACCTGACGTAGCTGAGGGAGGTAGCATGGGTGGACATGCCTTTCCCCAACTTGTAAGTGTACTTTTGACAATAAAGAGTTAACTCCTCCTTCTGGACATTCCTTGCCTGACAGTGCTGTGACACACTCCATCGTCTTCCAAAGTCATTCAAGTGGGTAGGCCAGGACATGTACATACAGGTTCAGCATGCTCTCTGAACCAACTGGGGGGAGACAAAAAGCTCCCGATTTTTCAATTCTGGAGCGCCAGAGGAAACCTTCCCGTGGTTCAAACGGACCACACACCATGGAAGCTCCCGCAGAATTTTCCTGGTGTCAGTGGTGGACTCAAAGCACAAGTTGCTGCTCGGGAATGATGGTGGCTTGCTTAGTGGTCAGGATCCCCTGCATGAGCATGAAGAAAAGGCATCCTAGAATTGTAGAGTTGAAAGAGACCCCAAGGGTCATCTAGTCCAACCCCCTGCAATGCAGGGATCTCAACTAAAGCAGCCATTATACTGCACACCTCCAGCTTAACGGTAAAGGTACCCATGCCCGTACGGGCCAGTCTTGACAGACTCTAGGGTTGTGCGCTCATCTCACTCTAGAGGCCGGGAGCCAGCGCTGTCCGCAGACACTTCCGGGTCACGTGGCCAGCGTGACAAAGCTGCTCTGGCGAACCGGCACCAGAGCAGCACACGGAAACGCCATTTACCTTCCCGCTATAAAGCGGTACCTATTTATCTACTTGCACTTAAGGGTGCTTTCGAACTGCTAGGTGGGCAGGAGCTGGGACCGAACGACGGGAGCTCACCCCGCCGCAGGGATTCGAACCGCCGACCATGCGATCGGCAAGTCCTAGGCGCTGAGGTTTCACCCACAGCGCCACCCGCATCCCACACCTCCAGCTTAAGGAACTGCAATTCTGCCTTGGGAAAGGACAACTGAACTGCTGCGCATTCAATCTGGCTTAATGTGCGCCTGCAGCCAAGCGTAGGCTTCTGGGAGAGAATGCCGCGAGCTCCAGCCTTGCTGGAGATTACCTCTCCCCAACCCCTCACCCAGGTCCCCAACGAGGCCACATTCCTGCACCGTGTGTTTGTTCCAAGAGTCTGCCTTGGGCGATGACCGCAGCACTTCCTCCTCAGGCCCTGTTGACGCGCTCTTTCCACAGACAGCTCGTTCCCGGCGCGTGCTGTCTGGGGGCGGAGGAAGCGGCGGCCCCTGAAAGCCCTCTCCCCTTCTGGCCTGATAAGGACCTGGCCCAGATCTCCTGCACTCCCGGGCAGCACGCCAGGAAGAACGGGGCCTGGGGAGGGGGCGGGTTGGCTGTTTTTCTGGCGAGGCTCGTGCCTTTGGGACGGCACCAGCTTCTGTTTGAACGCGACCTGAGAATAATCGCATGTAGAATCATAGAATCAGAGTTGGAATAGACCACAAGGGCCATCGAGTCCAACCCCCTGCCAAGCAGGAAACACCATCAGAGCACTCCTGACATATGGTTGTCAAGCCTCTGCTTAAAGACCTCCAAAGAAGGAGACTCCACCACACTCCTTGGCAGCAAATTCCACTGTCGAACAGCTCCTACTGTCAGGAAGTTCTTCCTAATGTTTAGGTGGAATCTTCTTTCTTGTAGTTTGGATCCATTGCTCCGTGTCCGCTTCTCTGGAGCAGCAGAAAACAACCTTTCTCCCTCCTCTATATGACATCCTTTTATATATTTGAACATGGCTATCATATCACCCATTAACCTCCTCTTCTCCAGGCTAAACATGCCCAGCTCCCTTAGCCGTTCCTCAGAAGGCATCGTTTCCAGGCCTTTGGCCATTTTGGTTGCCCTCCTCTGGACACGTTCCAGTTTGTCAGTGTCCTTCTTGAACTGTGGTGCCCAGAACTGGACACAGTACTCCAGGTGAGGTCTGACCAGAGCAGAATACAGTGGCACTATTACTTCCCTTGATCTAGATGCTATACTCCTATTGATGCAGCCCAGAATTGCATTGGCTTTTTTAGCTGCCGCGTCACACTGTTGGCTCATGTCAAGTTTGTGGTCAACCAAGACTCCTAGATCCTTTTCACATGTACTGCTCTCAAGCCAGGTGTCACCCATCTTGTATTTGTGCCTATCATTTTTTTTGCCCAGTGTTACTCTGAAGAAGAAGGGGGGGCAGTCAAAGCTGCAATGTAAAAGCCTGCATTGACTTTGCAGGCTTGTAAATTGGACTGCCAGCACAAACGCTGTGAAAACTAGCCCCATGCCAAGCGAAGCCCCATGTCCCTGTTTTTCAGTGTGCCTTAGTAGCAGGTTGATAAACGTTAGCTCCAGGTGGTAAGCAGCCCAAATTTCAGACTGGAAGGGTCAGCCTTCAAACAGCGTCAAGTCACCGATTTTGGCTCATGGTAGCAGCACCTTCTGGGTCTTTTTGAAGGCCTTGCTGCCAACAGGGCAGTGGGGAGATGAAGAGTCGGCCAAATTTGGCTACCTCGTGTCCTTGGCCCAGCTGTTAACTGGTGAAGCAGATGTCCCATAATTTTCTGGGGTGGAGATGCAAGTCGCCTCCTGTTCCCCACCTGGGATCAGAGCTGGCATAGCTCTCCCGCCTTCCTGGCAGGGCCGAAGCGAGTGGCGAGTCCAGAAAACGGGCCACCGTGCTGTGCTGGAGAGAGCGAAGAGGCGACAACTCACAACAAACTTGTTTGTTCTGGCTCGGTCTCCTGGCCTGGTTGACATCACATCCTGAAGGCAGCGAGGACGGCACCTCCACAGGCAGGGTGGGCAGAGCTCTGGAGAAGAGCTGGGAGGCTGGCCGGCCTCTGGCTCACTTGCCGAGCAAGGGAAGGACGACGGAGGTCGCTGGGGAGAAGCGGGGTGGCCATGGGGCAGTGCGGGCTGTTCCCTGGCTTGGGCGACCTGAGAGAAGCAGCAGCAGCAAGGTTGGGAGAGACCTAACGGCAAGGAAAAGCTGCTGGATTTGCAGGAGGTGGGAAAATGGATGCTTGCCAACAGCCTCAACCTTTGCAAGTAAGTACTTCTGAGCGGGGCGAGGGGGGGACGGACAGACATCCACACCGTCAACAACACTTCAGAAAAGCAACACTACCCTCCTTGTGGACGTGCTTAGAGGTCTCTTATGGGCAGTGTCCTGGATGGGCCCTTGCTTGCTCTGCTAATTTTACATGTATTAACCGGGGCTTGGTGAAGAGGGTGTCTCAAGATAGCATCCTGCAGCAAGATGCCCTCATGAGAAGCTCCACCCACTTGCCAGTCTGCCTGCCCACCTCTGGCAGAAACCCCACCCAACTAGTGCATGGTGCCACGTTGAGGGCAAGGCTACGGCCACCGTTCCAGAATCTTCCCACATTCATCTGCACAACACCTCAAAGGGCTTGTGCAATCTCCGGGGTACAGCTGACTTGAGTGCTTATGGTCAAGGCTAGTTGCAAATGTCGGCCTGTAGCAAATTGTGCCCATTTCGTGGGTGCTATACGGCAAGCTCTCTGTGCCTCAGTTTCTCTCCTTCATTGATGGGTTCTCCTCCACTGGAGGTTTTAAAACAGAGATTGGGTGGCCATCTGCCAGGGGTTCTTTAGCTGAGATTCCTACATTGCAGGGGGCTGGACTAGATGACCCTTGCGGGACCTTCCAACTCTACAATTCTACAGATGACAGAGGATGACTTCCTCTGTGGTAAGCTATGGGGAGCGTGAGTGAGGCATCAGACATGATTGCCCACCCCAAGCCTTGGCAAACGGAAGATCAAGGAAGAGCAGGGATGTCAAAACATTAACAAAGGCCAGGACTTTCTCTTATCTACCGCAGAATTCTTTCAAAGGCAAAAGACATGCTCTTGAAACAAAAACAAAAGACGCAGCACAGATCACTCTCAATAATCTAACTCGCTTGCTCCAAGAAGCCCCTCTGCCTTCTCGCAGCACATTTTGTTTGGCACTGAAACCCTTTTGCAAAGCAAAATGTGCACTTGATAAAATAAAGGGATCTGAACGCCCCAGGGTTTTGCTCTGTTCAAAAGTCTCAGCAGAGGCATCTTTCTTCAGGCTTATTTCGTACTCACTAAGACCTCTGCTAGCAACTTGCCTTCAGCATCCTACGGAGACAGTCTGGGAGAAATTTAACACGCATACACTCTCTGAGGTTATATCCTAATCCCACAGAATTACTGTATTTTTCGCCCTATAGGACACACTTTTCCCCCTCCAAAAATGAAGAGGAAATGTGTGTGCATCCTATGGGGCGAATGCAGGCTTTCGCTGAAGCCTGGAGAGCGAGAGGGGTCGGTGCGCACCGCCCCCTCTCGCTCTCCAGGCTTCAGGAAGCTGTCTGCAAGCCTGGGGAGTGACTTCTGCAAGCCCGACTTCGCGCTGGGCTCCCACGGCTTGCGGAGAGCTGCCTGCATCCCTGCGGATAGCAGCCTGTTCTGGGGGCTGGGGTCGGAGGAAGCTCGGGCTTCCCCTGCCCCAGCCCCACGCCTGGGGGGGGGAATAATTTTTTTTCTTTATTTCCCCCCCCAAAAAAAACTAGGTGCGCCCTATGGGCCGGTGCGCCCTATGGGGCGAAAAATACGGTAACTGAACTGCATCAAATTATATTGATGCGCAGCATGGGGTAATTCTCCCCACTACCAGCAGGGGCCACGAAGCTAAAAAGGCAACCCAGCTTTTTACTGACTCCCTTTAACTATAGTTTAATCTACACTATACGTATTCCAAGTCAAATGCATTCTTTGGTTTTCCATTTCTTTTTGGGGGGGTGGGGGTGGCGGGGAGTGGAGAGGAAAAGGGAAAAAACAACCCAGGGAATCCAATTCTGTCTACAAGCCACATTCACCAACCATGTCTTTGTCTTCCCTCTGCCTCCCCCAGTTCCACAATGGTTTCTGGTAACTTGGCTGTTTTGCTGGTCCTGCTTATACCTCTTGAATTCTGGAGGTCTGGAGGCCTCCTAGTGGCCTCTCCAGGAACTGCTGGCGAGCATGACTCCTCAAAGCAGGTCCCGATCCAAGCCCTCCAAACCATCCTGCTGAGACGCCTGGGCTTGCAACGGCGCCCGGAGCCAAGGGCGGGGCTTGTGGTCCCCCAATATCTTCTGGATCTTTACCAGTTCTGCTTGGGGAAGGCTCCCTCCTCCCTCAAAGAGACAGAGCTTCCCTTCCTGGAGGAACAAGCCGGGAGAGCCAACACCATCCGCACCTTCCACCATGTCGGTGAGCTTGCGATTGCCACGTCCGCCTTCAAATTCCACGTCTGGGCTGTTGGGGTGGCTGGGGCCTTGAAAAATTGGTTGGGGTAGCAGCAGAGGGGAGAAAAGCAGGGACATTTAGCCCAGGCCCTCCAGGAGTTGCTAGACTACACCTCCCACCATCTCCCTGAACATTGGCCATGCCAGCTGCAGGGGCTGATGGGAGCTGGAGTCCAACTAGAGGCAGCCACAGGCTCTCCATCCTTGAAGTGATTGCACAAAACCGGGAGCCAGGGACAGGGATGAAGGAGAGGTGGAAAGCTGTAGATAAGTGGCCGCACTGCGTAAGGGGAAACAGAGGTAGATCAGCAGGCAGGAACCTTGCTTTGCATGCAGAAGGTCCCAAGTTCAATCCTTGACACCCCCAGTTAAAAGGAAAGCCCCTCTGTTTGCCCTGGTCCTTAGAGAGCCACTGCAAGCCACGGCTGACAATAAGAGGCTGACAAAATAGCCTGACCTGGTAGAAGGCTCAGTTGGGAGAGCGCAAGACTCTTAATCTCTGGGTTGTGGGTTCAAGCCCTACATTGAAAGATTCCTGCATTGCAGAGGGTTGCACTGACTAGATGACCCTTGTGGTCCCTTCCAACTCTACAGTTCCGATTTTGACGCTGAGGGTCAAACACGCTTCATCGAGGAGGAAGGAAAGCAAAGCTCCCTAATGCCAAGATATTTCAAGAATATGCTCTGCTTACTTAAGGAAGATCTCTTCTTTTTTCCCCTTGCGGTTTGGGAGGTGTATGATTTGCCTTGGGTTACAGCGCCACCTGCAGAGCAAGCAAGGCAACAGAGCCACACACGGGGTAGGAGGCACTTGCGTTGTCAGCAGAGCCAGGAACTCTGCACCACTTCAAGCAAGGACAGAAAGGGATGCCAAGATACGGTTCTGATTCTTTAAAAAACCCCAAAACAGTCTTAAGAAAAAAGTGCAGCACACTGCATAGCCACAAATAAGTATTTTCTTTTATTTTAAAAAGTTAGGACAATAACTTTAAGACAATTTACAGGGAACAGCTGTTTGCAGGGGGCAAAACACAGAGCGGGCTAGATGGACACTTGGTTGGACGCAAGAAGGCAATTCCTGCAGTCCTGGCATGGGCAGCCTTTGTAAATGTTGCTGAACTACAACTCCCACCAGACCCAGCAAGCATGGCCCATGGCCAGGGGTGATGGGAGCTGTAGTTCAGCAACATCTGCAAGGCCAAAGGTTCCCCACACCAGCCCCAAACACTCAATCCTCAATCCCTTTCCGGCTTCTGTTTCACATCTAGAGGACCTGGAAAACACCCCTGAAGCCGTAGATGGTTCGCTCTACTTCCTGTTCAACCTGACCTTGCTGCCTGTGGAAGAGGAGCTGACCGCCCTGGAGCTGCGCCTGTACCACTCACAGCAGGAAAGCAGGGGTTTCCACATCAACATATACCACGCAATGGGCCCCCTACCCGTTTCCGGAAACAAGAGCAGTCTCCTCCTGGCTCGCAGATTCTTGGCTCCCAAGCAGCCCAGGTGGGAGAGCTTTGACGTCACCGCTGCTTTCCAGAGGGCCGAGGGCCAGAGGCACCTTGGGTTTCTCGTTGAGGTGGAGCACCCCAACGGCAGCCATGAGCTTCCTCAGCACCAGGCTCCGCTTCGCGCAAGGCGGTCTCCCGGAGAGGAGGAGGCCCAGTGGGCTCTAGAAAGGCCTCTGCTGGTCACCTACAGTCACGACCGGAGGGGGCAGCCTTTGACTCGTGGGAAGAGACAAAGCAGGAGCCAGCCGGGTGGGCTAACCCAGAAAGGAGGCCGAAGAGCCCCCAAGGGGCCAGCCTCCCGCAGCAAACGCAAAGGCCTGAAGCCCAAGGCCAAAGCCAGCACAAGGTGCCGGAGACAGCGCCTGTTTGTAGACTTCAAGGAGGTTGGCTGGAACGACTGGATAGTTGCCCCCAGCGGCTACCACGCTTTCTACTGCTCCGGGGAGTGCCGGTTCCCGCTGGCCGACCACATGAACTCCTCCAGCCACGCTGTGGTGCAGACCATGCTGAGCTCGGTGAACTCCAGGGTGCCCAAGCCGTGCTGCGTCCCGACGGACCTCAGCCCCATCGCTATGCTCTACCTGGACCAACACGACATGGTGGTCCTGAAGACGTACCAGGACATGGTGGTGGAGGGCTGTGGGTGCCGGTAGAAACCACACAGCAGGGATAAGCCTTCTCTCAGGTAACCCAAGCAGGGGGCTTGGAACCGTCACGAGTATTTCTTCAGGCAACATGGAATTAATGTATGGGACTTCCTACCACAAGAGGTGGGGACAGCCAGAAGATTAGATGGCTCAGCTATGAGATACATGGGGCATCTGGGCACAGAGGCAGCATATGACTTTACACCAAGCACCAGGGGCAAACAGGCAAAGGCTATCACCAGCCTGCTGTACGAGACAGATGTACCTTGCCTCTGATTCAACAAGGCAGAATTCTTATATTCTTATCATGCCTCATCAACTTCTCTATACGGATGAATAGCTGCTGCTGTTGTTTTAAACTGTGATGAGCTTTAGTTGAACAATAAATGAGAAAGCTACCAAGCCTGTCACAGTGAGCATCCTTAAGCCAAGGTGAAAACTGTGTGACGGTGTAGTTGCCACTAAAGGCGAATTCACATAACCAAAGAGAATCAGCACCAGATGTTCCTGAAAATATGATTTGGGAGAGCTGGCTGACTTTTCACACATTGTTTATGGGGAACCTGTGGCTCTTCAAACTTGTTGGACAACCAGCTCTCAGGGACCCCAGGCTGCACAGCCAATGGCCCTACACTTGAAGGACCACAGGCTTCCCTCACTCCTGCTCTAAAATAGAAGCTCTCCATCAGAGTGTTTATCCAGTAGAGGAGAGCAGTGGTTGTCAATTCTGCTGGAACTGACATTTTGGGTGAAAAAATGGCAGTGTGCTCCCAGCAGCTGTTGTGTGAAACATGTAGCCCTCCCTAACACTTTACAGCAGGGATGTGGATTTCAGTCCAATCTCCATCAGCTCCAGCCATCACTGCCACTAGTCAGGAATGAAGAAGGTGTGCTCCAGCAGCACCTGAAAGGCTGAGGGTTCTCGACCCCTGCATTAAGAGTCTAATACCCCTGGGGGTTGTTTCTAAGCAGAGGGGCATCATAAACCTCACTGCACCAAATGTGTGGACAAAAAGGCGGCCAGAGACTGACACAAGAGAGCAGGTGGTCCATATCTTATTGGTGGGGAGTCAGCACTTTCTTCTGACCAGGGTGGATTTGATTTAAATCAAATCTATTTAAATCACTAGTCAGTAAGACTTGGTTTAAATCATTTTTTATTTTTTTACAGAAAGACTCATTCTTGGCGGTATAATCTTAATATTTACAACCAGATGGTTTCATTTTTTGGAATAATAAATTTTCAGAGTGCTTTTTACAGTTTTATCAAAAATTACTGACTTGCACAATTATTACACAAAGATCCCAAGACTTGTGGAGTATTCTGCTCACAAGGTTGCAGTTTCATTTTTACTGCTTCACACTTAGCTACTTATGCAGATCTATTCCATTCAAAACAAATCTATTCATTGAACCTCTTGGAACATTTGGTAAGGGGTTGATTCTGTGTATATAAATTTGCAAAGGAACAATGGGATTAAAGGTTTTTCCTCAACTCTGTATGTTTATTTTATAACATTTTTCTTGTGAAGAAAAGGCATGTTATCTCTGCAGACACAAATTCACCCTTTTGAGAACTGCAAAAACAAGCATCTGTGATAACATCTTCTCGTTAGAAAAGCTGCCCCAAATAATCTTACAGAAACCTCTGGAATATTGTGAACATTGTGAATGGATTAATGGAATTCATTTACCTAAAAATTTAAACATTGCATGTAAAGCCTCATGCTACATAATTAAAAACAAATCCTTATTTCCTGATGAATAGCATTTGGACTATAATGTAACTTAAATAGAAAACCATATTTAGAAAGATTTTTCCTCCAAAAGCAAAATTTTTAAAAATTCCAATTTAAATTAAAAAAAATCCAAATTAAATCTAAAAATCTGATTTATTTATTTATTTTTAAAACAATTGATTTTATCCACCCTGCTTCTAACTACATACACCGAAAAAACACCTTGCTAGTCATTGCTTCTAAGCCCCTATTTGGTGTCTCAAGGCAAGTCTCAAGTTCTGCTTCATAGCAAGGAAAGGGACAAAAAGCTCTGAGGTATGTGGTGGTGACAAATGTAGCACTCAACAGGAATATGGTGCATTTTAGTGCATTGTTTTAAGTCAGCCTTCTCCAAACTGGCACCCACCCACGCCCAATGTTGTTGGGACTACAATGGGATGGTGAAAGTTGTAATCCAAAAAATCTGGAGGCCACTTGGCTGGGGAAAGTTTTTCAAAGGGCACAAGATTTCTACTTCTGTGTCCATTAAAAAATGTATACAATGGTGAAATAAACTGTACAGCTTTTGTTGATGTTTTTCTTCTTTTAAAAAAGATGAAACATGGGTGTAGGACAGGGGTGTCAAACTCAAATTCATTGGGGGCCGCATCAGCAGTTTGGTCACCCTCAAAGGGCCGGTTGTATCTGTAGGACTATGTGTCCACTCTTTATTATCATAAATTATTGTCACTGCATTCAATTATTACTGTTTTTTGTAATAATGTAAGTAATAACTAGCTCTGAAAGCAGAAACATAGTCAGAATAATGGATCTGTCACATCACAGGATGGCATGCGCTCAATATAAAAACAAGTGGAGGTTTCCTGAATGCATGTAAAGTGGAGGTTTCCTGTGTAGAACGGCCGGCGCCGCTAGAGGGCAGACGTTCTCTGGCTTGTAGGCTGCCGCGCATGCGCTGAAGAGGCGGCTTTCTTGTGTCAAAAAAAAAAAAAAAAAGCGAGAATAAAAGGTGAAGGCTGGCGGCGGCTACACGGGCCACATGACGAGGTCTGGCGGGCCGAATTCGGCCCGCGGGCCTTGTGTTTGACACCCGTGGTGTAGGAAAATGGGCTAAGATGCAACATTGACGCTTTATGAAAGAGATGTCAGAGTTAACAGTGCACTCCAAAGTAAGTAATGTAGAGAGACAGAGACAGTATCATGTGAGTGGATTTCAGTTTACAGGTCTGAAATGGGCTGGACAGGATGCAAGGCTTAGCACAGCAAGAAAACACCTGTAAACACTTTTACCCCACCTTCCTGTCATCAAGACATCCAAGGAAGCTACGTACACTAAAGGGCGGACACTGAAAAACCACACTATCAAAAACACATCAGAGTGAGCAACTAAACCAAATGCAGAGCAGGGCAAGAGAAAAATAAATTAACCAGAGACCCAGGAAGACTTAGTGTGGGAAGAGCTTTTGAGAATCAGAAGCTGGGTAGATCCAATCAATAATAGAAAAGTAACAGATGCTGTAATTAAAAATTAAAATGAAACCTGAACAACATGATTCTTACTATTAAACTTTAAAGAATACAGACATATATTAAAACTGAATCATGCCCTCTCTCTTATATAGCTTGAGGCTATTTTTAGTATTAAAAGCAACTCAGAGGAAAGCATTTTATTATGAAGGTTAACCAACATAATGGGCACAATGGGCCTTGATTAATGTGAGTTTCCTATTGCACCGTAGCAAATAACCACATACCTTGGGATGCATATGCATATATATGAGAGATGGAATGATCAATGCTTTTTCTGGGGGGGGGGGCGCAGGGGTACACATACCCCTAAACATTGTGAATCTTTGCACTTTCGTCCATTTACTGTATTTATTTTTTCCGATTTGAACTATTAAATGGTGATTTTCTTGAGTCAAAATGAGAGTACAGTGGTACCTCGGGTTAAGTACTTAATTCATTCCGGAGGTCTGTACTTAACCTGAAACTGTTCTTAACCTGAAGCACCACTTTAGCTAATGGGGGTCTCCTGCTGCTGCCGCGCCACTGCAGCCCGATTTCTGTTCTCATCCTGAAGCAAAGTTCTTAACCTGAAGCACTATTTCTGGGTTAGCGGAGTCTGTAACCTGAAGCGTATGTAACCTGAAGCGTATGTAACCTGAAGCGTATGTAACCCGAGGTACCCCTGTACCCCTAAACATATTTTTTTTTTAATAGAAAAAAGCACCGGATATAATATATTTCTCCATCCCCTACATGGGTTAGTTTATAATCTGGCCATAGCCACCAGGCTGGGAGTTATAGTCCAAAATAGGGGTTGGGAATTGCTAGTCTGTGGGCCAAATTTGGCTCAACCCAAGTTGCCACCTATCCCATACCTTACGAACCGCCCCCACCTATGCCATACCTTACGACCTATGTGGTGTCAGGGGTGAGGGCAGACAGAGATGCTCCATGACTGAGTTCCCCAGAAAGCACCCTTGAGCTTCGCCTGGTCACGACGCCAGGCCCAAACGCTTCCATTACTGTACTTCAAATTTAATAGCTTCCCTCCGCCCATTATTTTCTTCCCACATCCTGTATTGCGCTATAAACTCTTTGAAAACAGACGCTCCTCTCTCTGGCCATAAATGTTGCCGCTCAGTTATGAAACAATTCAGTTAACGCCGACTAACCTGCATAGGCCTTGGTTCGGTCCCGCTCAAGTCGTCATGGCAACCCCAAACCGTTCCGCTCAAAATTGCGGTCCTCAAAAGCACTCAGCACGTTGGTGGCCGGGACAGGAAGAAGCAGCCTCTTCACCCGGAAGTACATTATTATGAGCGGACGACAAGCCACTCTTCCCTTATCTTTTTTTTTAAAAAAGGTCCCCTCTGGTAATAGGAGGACTGGGAACTCTATGACTCTGCCCTGTATGCCCCTAGGCGGCGGCGAGCGGCGTTGGCCCATGTGCCTGCACCCCGCCTCCCGCTCCTCCTAGCGATTGGTGGGATGAAAGATGAAAGGGAAGCGCGTGATCGTTACGTCATGATCAGGAGGCCCTCCGTGTTCCGCCATTCCCTGTCTCGCGGTCAGCACATTCGAGGACACCCATCCTTCCATTTCCCTCTTCGCCGCTTGGGCAGGAGGATGCGAACACGACTAATAATAATAATACAATATTTGCTTTTTGCCGCCCCACGCGGAAAGCCGCACTGGCAGGTTTATCCCGCGCCGCCCCGCCCCCTCTCACTCGAGGCCGCTGTTGTCGAAAGTGCCGTAGCTGAAAAGCAGCTGGCTGTCGCCTGGCGAAAGGGAAGGAGGGGGCCGAGAAGTGAGTGTGGGAAGGAAAGGAGGGGGCAAGCTTGGCTGCGTTTTAAAAAAACAACCAGCGCCGTCCGCCGGCCCGCCAATCCGAGCGCCGGAAAAGGGTGCACGTGACCCTGTCGGCTCCGAGCGTGAGGTGGGTGTTTTGCCAGAGGAGCCGCTGCCGCTGAGGGGGACGAAGGTAGAGCCGCCACCGCCGCCGCTGGGTTTGCCGAGGGAGGGAGAAACACCGCGCGGAGGCTCCTGTGGTCGCGAAGGCTGTTCTACCCGCACGCGCGGAAAGGGCCTCGGCGGATGCGCAGGCCGCTGGCGCACTCTTTGCTGGCGGCGGCGGCGGCGAAAGAAGACTACTAGGAGGCTTCTCTCGGGTCCGTCCCTGGCTGGAGCGGCGGCGGCGCGGGAGGGGGCCGCTCGCTCGGGACGGGCCTCTCTCTCACGCGCGCACCTGCCTGGCTCTCCATCATCCCTCCCTGCCGGTCCCGAGCGTGTGGCGCCTTTGCTCTCCCTCCTCGGCCCCAAGAACCGGCTCCCTCTTCTCTTCTTCCCCCCTTTCAGCCTCGCCGGGTGCGTATTTGCCTCGGCTCAGGCAGCCCCGCCAGCCCTCCCCTCTTCCCCTTCCTTTCCGAGTCTGCCGCCACCACCAAAGCCCTGAGCCAGAGGATCAGCAAAGGCCCTCTTACCCTTCAGCAGCCGACGAAGAGCCTTTCTGCGACTTTCCATTACTAATCACGGTTTATCTACCCCACCCCTAGCCCAGATATCTTGATAGGCATTGCCTTTCCTCCAAAAGGATAGCGTTTGTTTATACCTTTTGCTATCCCTCCCCCCAGCACACGCACACCAAAAAAGAGAGCGGGCACTCACCTTGTTCCTTTTAAACGCTTGGCAGAGAGTCCCTACTTACCTGTGAGGCATTAATTGCTCTCTGGTTCTTACCACGCACACCCAGGCACCCGTTTCTGTAAAAGCGGGCAGCTGTGAGGTTTATTTCCCTCTGCAGCTTGACGCTAGTCCTTTTAGCCCTCTTCTGCCAGTTATTTCTGTTTATGCTGCAGGTGTTTTTAGTCTACACGCACACACTACTCAGACGGGACTTTTTCCTGTTACAATAGCTCTTGCTTTCACAAGGAAACTGTGCATTTCCTTTCCTGGGCCTCTGGAGCAGACGTTGGCCCCATTTTGTTTCTTTTCTGTTGGACCTCTTTCTATTCTGCAGGTGTTAGTTCCAATCAGTCCTTCTTCAACCATTATACTAACACTCCATTGTTTACCCCTACTGGATAAAAACGTAACAGGCAAGGGAGCATTCCACATTTTCCAGACCAGCAAAATATTTCCGTGCCCTGCCAAATCTTCACAGAAATTGACCCAAGCCCAGTTAAAGTAGTGCCCTTTTTGTCTTGCTCACTCTCCTCCAACCCTCAGTAAAGGTTCTATTGTACCAAAAAGGCAGGGGTCCTCCCTGCATCCTCCTCCAAGTGATCCCATTCATCATTCATGGTCTCATTGCACCATTGCTGGGAGGAAAGGGTCTGGAGACCTTGGGAGCCTTTTCTTGCCAGGTGAGGGAAGGTGAAAAAGAGACAGGAGGTGACCCCTCAGTAATGACTCCATGAGAAGGGAAGAAGGAGAGCTCTCCCTGACAGAAACCTATCACGCTTGCCTGGCCATGGAGTGTGTACAAGTCTCCCCCATGCAGCAGCAACAAGGGAAAGCTGCTGAGGGGGACCACCTCATGCTGCTGCTGCCCCCTCCTGCTGTGCAGAAGGAAGAGGAGGGCCTGCTAAGGGCTTCTGATCCTTGGGTTGTCTCTCGAGTGGACGGCAGTCAAGGTGGGACAAAACTTCAAGAGGCTTTGGACTTTTCAGCACATCTTCAGAATACAGAAAACCTCACGCACAGCCCTCCCACGCTAGGGAGCCATCCCAGCAAAGAGATGGTGGGCAATTCTACTGCATGTTCTTCAAAGGAGGATTTGAAAGATACTGAGCGCTGTGATCTGGCAGAGGAGCAGTTGCAGCCATCGGGGAAAGAGACTTTGAGCCATCCGCTACAGGAAGAGTCGCTGGCAAATAAGGTGGCCTGTAATAATCCTCCTTTGGCCACAGCTGCCGGAGAATGCCTTACGGTTGCTGAAAAATGTTCTCAACAGAACAACTGTTTGCAGGAAAAATTGGACTCCTCTTCTCAGAACTGTTGTCTAGGCTTGGAAGCAACAAGTAGGGAGAGTCCAGAAGATGACCAAACAAGCCATGGTTCTCTGCCTGTTGATGATGGGAAACTGAAGCCTGGTGTAAAACATGTCACATTTCCTTCCGATGAAGACATTGTGTCTGGGGCTGTGGAACCCAAAGATCCTTGGCGTCATGGTAAGCAAGTTCCAACTTCTCTAGAAACCTTTTTCTCTTCTTGCAGCTGGATTGGACTTGTCCAAGCCAGTTCCTTTATTCACAGGATCGGCAATTGGTTTATAGTATGAGAACTGAATATTTCCTTTTATCTTTGTTAGTCACTTATCTACCAAAAGCTCTCAACGCGTCTTATGATAAAGGGTTACATACACAAAGCTATGCAATCCAATTAAAAGTAAGTGCATGCTATAAAAGCAGAAAGCTGATACAACAAGATGAACTAGGAAATAACAAAGCAATAGGCACTGACCTGCTCTTGAAAACAGGAAAATAATTCAGTTGTCAGACTAAGTTCTAGAACAGCCACCCCCAACCTGGTGCCCTCAAAATATTTTGGATTACAATTCCCATCAGCCCCAGATGGTGCAGGCATGCTTCTAATGTTCCCATTTTATGGCTGCAGAACTGAACTGTTTCCAAGGTCACTCACTGAATTGGTGACTAAGCACAGAATTGAATCTGGGGCTCCTGGTTCATGTCTGATATTCTAAGCGCAGAGTAGCCCTGCATAAATGACTTTTATCGGGTTGGTTCATACAGAATGCCAAACTAATTTGCACTCGCCCCCTTCTTTGAGTAGACTGTGAGTAGAAATACAGAACCTTCTGCTTTTGGTTAACCACAGCTTGCCATGTTGTCTAAATCTGGACAAACTGGTTCATCTAAACTCTGGATAATGGAAACAATCAAACTTCTAGGCATAAAGCTGTCTTGTCACTAACGGTGGTTAAGATGAACCATGGTTTAGGGCCTGGACAATATAGTTAAAAGTGTGGTTGATCTAAAACAGAAGTTTACCATCTTCTTTCTGTCCGCTAGAGGAGGCTAGGATAGGAAAGAAGCATGTGACCCTGGGTGGGAGAAATTAGGCTTATTCTTGTTGTGCTAATGCGAACCTGCCAACCTAGCAGTTCGAAAGCACCTCCGGGTGCAAGTAGATAAATAGGGACCGCTTACCAGCGGTAAGGTAAACGACGTTCCGTGTGCTGCGCTGGCTTGCCAGATACAGCTTGTCACGCTGGCCACGTGACCCGGAAGTGTCTCACTATAGAGTGAGATGAGCGCACAACCCTAGAGTCTGGCAAGACTGGCCCGTACGGGCAGGGGTACCTTTACCTTTACCTTTACCTTTATGGTTTAGTATTGCATCCAAACACTGCCATAGTGTATGCATTGTGGAGTTTTGATGGCTCCATTGTTTAAAAATACAGTATCTAGGTTCAGATAATTTTTTTAAAAAAAGTTAAATGGTGAAGTATTATTATTGATAATTCATATCACTAGTTAGTGCTATTGAGAAGGCATTATCATTGAGCATTTTTCAATAATGAAGAATACTATAGTATTATACACAGGACTGAAAAGTTTATGAATGCCTGGTTGATAATAATGTCACATTGGTGGTAAGAATTTTTCATTCCTGAGCATGTCCTGTTACAGGTGTATTTTTTCCTCTTTCAAGTTACACATTCCTTGGAATCTAAAAGCCTGATCCTAAGATTTCTTATGGATATAGCACATGGGTACATTTGGATGGTATATACCACAAGTGTTCTGTACCAGAGCATGATGTTAGAATTGTGTTGCAGGTATGCATGCTGTGCAAGTGCGTTGAGAACATATATTTTTTTGCACGTTTTGTATGCCATTTTAAGATGTCTTTTTCAAAGGATCTGTCTAACCTTGGATTATTACATTTGCATTGGGAGTTCTTGATCTCCCTCCAAAGCACTTTCCTTCTTGTTGCCCCCCCCCCCAGTTGTAAGAGCATCTGAGTTGCTCTAGTTTTTCCGAGGTTGTATTTGGAGTTTTAAAATATACGTATGCTATTTTTGACAATACCTGTGCTGATCTTCCAGAACTGAGAAATAGGGCCAGAGTCAACTTAATAGCTGTGGAAGCAGGAGTCAACGCAGGAAGTCCCACTAGCAATAAGGGGCTTGCCTACCCCTGCAGTCCCATAGTCTCTGAGGGGTTGTTGGGAGTATCCCCATAACAACACATGGGGATAGGGGAGGAGAGGAGAGAGAAGAGTGTTTCATCTGGCAAAGAGAAATGCTTGCACTGACAGAACTATCCTAATAGTGTGGTGTTTAATTCCACCCATTGAACAGGAATGTAAAGTTGTCCCAACTTTTTCTTTACTTTCCCTGAAGCCTTTGTTTTGAGATAAGTGGGTGTTTAGAGATAAATGGAGGTTAAAGAAAGTAAACTTGAATGCATTTACACTTGTTGAGCTCAAAGGAAAATATGTGTAAATACTTTTGTTAGGAATGCCAGGTGGATGTACAGATGTTAGGAGAAGGAGAATGACCCTGTAGTCATTTTTCTGTCCCCAAGTGCGTGGTTTGCCTTACCTATAATAGATTCATAAGAACTACAGAGTTGGAAGGGATTGTGAGGGTCATACAGTCCAACCCCCCTGCAATGCAGGAATCTCAGCTAGGTCCTACATAACAGATAGACATCCAACCTCTGCTTAAGAACCTTCAAGGAAGGAGAGTTAATCACCACTCAAAATTTGCCAGGTTTCAGGCACACTTTGCACCTGGCTATTGGCCACTTTCAACTAAGTGAAGATGCCAGGGTGCCAGGTTGGCGCCTGAGGTCTCCACCATGTGGAGATGCATGCAGGGGGATCCTTGTATCTCGGCTGTTTTCACACACTAATACCCTATCCTGTGCAATTCTATCTGATATATTTTATCTGCGTTATCAGAATGAATTTCAGGAACCAAAAAGTTGTACAGTATTGGAAAATAGCACGTTTGAACCGTCTGGCCCCCAAATGACAACTAGGCATTCCATTTTGGTTACTGTAACTGCTTTTAGGACCTGTTTGGTTGCCTAGCTTATATATCTGAGTTTCTAACACTTCTCATGGGAATCTGTTCTACTGTTGAACAGCTCTTATTGTCAGAAGCTCTTCCTGATGTTTAGCCAGAATCTCCTTTCTTGTAACTTAAATCCATTGGTTTGGCTTCTAGCATCTGAAGCAAGAGAAAACAAGCTTGTGCCATCCTCCTTGTGACAACCCTTTATATATGTGAAGATGGCTATCATATCTCTTCGGTCTCCTCTTTGCCACGACTTCACTTGATCAGGACACTAGATGCAGCCTAGAATAGCATTAGCTTTTTTGGCTGCTGCATCACACTGTTGACTCGAGTTCAGCTTGTGGTCTACTAAGACCCCTAGAGAGCAGTTTTGATGGGGTCACACCAGATGTGTATTTTTATAAATTAATTTGTGGTAAGTTAGAGGTAAAAGGGGAGAAAGTGTATGTGACAGAACAGTTGTGGTCTCATAAATTATATTACTTTCAATGAACCCCTTAACATTTGGCCAGTAGGACAAGACTTGAAATGATAGTTTTTAGGCAGTTTCCATTGTAAACGCATTGCATACTGGAGAATGAATACACATTTGATTGCTTTATGCATAAAGCCAAACTGCAGCTGCATCATTATTTTACATTCTCACTGCTCCCTTCATGTTCTCACTCCTCAGTTCCTTATTTCCTCTTTCACACAAACCAGTAATGGTTGGAATTAGGTTTGCAGCCTTGGTTTAGGGTGAAAAAAATATCTATAATTTACGGACTTATGTAACTGCAACGGTAACTGCTTTTCACCAGTACTTATTTTATGTAGAAAATAAAATATACATAGCATAATCAGAACAGTGTACATAAAAGCAATACTTAACTAATTGCAGAAGTTAACTAGCTGAAGCAGAGAAGATGAAAGGAAAGTCCAGAGGACAAGAGTCCTTCTCATGGTGCCAAACCATAGTTTGGTGTTACAACTGAAGTATGCCATGGTCATGATTTTACATTATTGTCAAATGTGGTTTTATTATTATTTTTTAGTAGGGGTAGGTGGGAGGCTGCAGACCATAATTGTATCAACAATGTTGTATTCTATTAGAGTTGTCTGTATCTGTAAGACCAGATACAGGCTTTTGGCTGATTGATATCAAATGCCCTTTTGAAATGTGTTGGGGAGGGGGGATTATTGGGTTGTTCTTGTTCTTGTTATGTGTTTTGTGTTTTTATATTGTGCTTTTATCTTGTGAACTGGCCTGAGACCTGCGGGTATAGGGCGCTATACAAATGTAATTAACATAATAAGAATAATAAATGTTTCAGTTGTGCATTGGGTTGAGGATGGCGAGTTTGTGGAGTGTTAAAAAACAACTCACGGTATTTAGGCAGAAAACACAATAGACAGAAATGGCAATATCTGCTTGATTCCCTCCCCCCCCTAATTGTTTCTGACTCTTTAGAGTGGCCACCAATTAGTTTTTGAACACATCTTTACAAGCATGTGATTTAAAAGCTATAACGAAGAGTGACACCTATCCATAAGGAAATGCCGCTTGTGTTGGTGGGACTTCATTGAGGCAATAGTTCCCTGTTCTGCTAGTAGACATGCCTGGTGGCTACAGATACAGTCACAACACAATTACATCCTCTATCACTCAGTGGAGCCAACCAGTTGTCTGTGCCTACATATAAGGAACCCTGGGCTAGGCAATTTTCTGGTTTCATTGAAGTCAGTAGATCAAGTTTCCCTTGCAGCTCTTTTTGCTTTATTGCTTGTTTATTGGATTTCTTGCCCGCCCTTCACCATAAGGTCTCATGAGGTATACAGGAGTTGCAATGTGTACACTGAGATCCTGCAGTAGCCATGGCCTTCCCAGTTGGTACAGCAGTTTGCTGCGCTTATTCCTCTGCGCTTATTCATGATCTGAGCCACTTCCTCTAGACGTGGAGCAGGAGAATACTCTGAGAATATTGTGTGTGTATCAAGAAGCCCCCAGAGCTCTTAGTCAGTGATTATGAGAGAGAGATTGTGTGTGTGTGTGTGTGTGTGTGTGTGTGTGTGTGTGTGTGTTGCACAATGCCCATATGTTGTGGGTCATGGTGCTTTGTTGCAGATGGCTGTATGGCTTAA